GCGCACCCTCTTCTAGATCGGAATTAGGGTTTTGTCGGTGGGGTTTGCGGCTCACGGCGAACCTCGTGCTTTGAGCCGCCGGCCCCCACCTCTTTATATAGCGCAGTGCGACGGGGGCCCACCAACCATGTAGGGTTGGGCGCCCCCGATCAGGGCGCGTGACCAAGGCCCAATAAGCCGTTGGGCTTATTGGTTAGGAGATCAATCTAACATCTCGCACTACGGGTCCTGGGCATTTTGTTGGCATTCACTGGTGTAGTCTACCGCACTAAGAAGAGGCTGAACACGGCCTCCGGTCTCCAAGGCGGCACGATTTGACACGATAGATCATCGATGTATAAAGGCCATAGGTTGAAAGAATATTACTCCTTAGTACGTGCACATGAAGATTGTTTTTTTGAGGAAATTGGAGGAGCCGAAGCCCCTATAGAAATTTTTAAAAAAACATAAAGAAGAGAGAACAGTAGAAAATTAAGGCTAGACTGGCCATTAGGACAAAGTAAGACTATGAGCCCATAATTCAAAAGTAGACAGTAGGCTTGGTTTCACTCTAAAGAGAACTAGTCTCAATTTCTGAAAGAAGATCCTCTTCCACCCCTGGATCTTTGGTTGAATCCATTTGAAGATTAGATCATTTCTTGCTGTCCAGATGGACCAGCTCAGTAGGATAACTGCCATGCAGCCTTCGTCTTGAAGGTCGAAGTGATTTCTAGGAAGCTGCTGTTTATATGAATATCAATTCCCAGTAGATTCTAACATTGATTAGCAAAATCACAAATGGAGGAAGAGGTGCTGAGAGGTTTCCTCCACTGATGAATTACAGAGCACACAGTTGTAGCTGTCAAGGTCCATGTTTTCCCTTGATATTTCTGTGCTAAACCGATCTTTGAGGAGTAACCAGAAAAAAAAAACTTTATGCTTCGGCTGACAGGTGCTTTTCTAGATCACTTGAAGGCAGGATCAATTTCTAGGTGATCAAACAGAGCTCGTACATTTTGGGTGACGAGAAAGAACTACATCCCCATCTGTAACTCCATTTGTCCATCGCCCTGTTCGTTTGGGCTTGTTTGGCTGATAAGCCATGGCTGAAAGTACTGTTGGTTGGTTTGGTGTGAGAGAAAAATACTGTTCGTTGGCTGAAAAAGTACGGTTTATAAGCCAAATAAATCCAAACGAACAGGCCGACATGTCATTGGTCAGTGTGATAGCAGTTATGCTTGAAAGGAGGTCCTGCATCTGTGCTAGAGCCCCTTGGGAAACTGGCAGGTGGAAGAGATCTGAAAAGATTTCCATGCTTAGAGCTGTGTTTACTGAAATCAGTTTGTTCTTGGTAAAGGAGTGGAGTTCAGGTGCAGCAGAGGCTGGACTCTGCGAGTACTAGACTAGAGGCCGGCCTGTTACAAACTTACACGTGTGGAGGCACACGTATACCCGCTTGTATTCGTCGGGCCGGAGTCGGAACACTTCACTAGGTAGGCGCTACGGCATATGGCAACATGTCGCTTTGCTACGGTGCATTTGTTCCTTTGGATGGTTCATTAGTGGCCTGAGCTGTTGGGGCCTAGCTTTTTGTTTAGTCTGTTCCCACAATCCCACCCTCTGGAGTCTGGATAGCTTGCTTGATGGTTCATTTGTCGCCTCAACTGTTCCAGTGAATTGGATCCTCGACCAGCTTTGCCGAGCCTTGCTGAGAAAGGATATGCTTCGAGGACCAGCCACACGGACATGGTGTGATGGGTGCCGATGCTTGAATGAGAAGGGAGAAGGTTCGAACATAGATAGATTCATCCTAGTTTCTGGGCTGGTGCCTGGTGGCAAAACACACACAGCTTGCAAAGCATGTTGAGGTTGATGCATCGGTGTTGGAACAAATAAAATATTGTTTTTATAGCCTGGTTCAGCATCGATACGCTCTGAACAAGCAGCCGAGGAGCGCCATGTTCGCTTGACTTATAAATCGTATTTTTTCAGCTAATGAATAGTATTTTTCTCTTACAACAAATTAGATAACAGTACTTTCAGCCATAACTTATAAACCAAGCGAACATGGAAAAGTCTGCTCACGCAAGCAAGAAAAATCCTGCTTCCTATCTGGCTCTCCTACTCGGGCGATGCAAGCAGGTGAAGCAGGAAAAGGCCCCTGCCGCAAGCGGACTCGCTGGGACTGGGTGGCCCAGCCTGCCTCTGTGGCTCTGCCTGTGCGCCTGTGGGGCGCCGGCGGCACCGCTGCTGAGTGCTGACCCAATGCAAAAGCGACTACCTGATCTCGGCATATCGGCGTGTCGCCCAGGCCCTCGAGCACTGAGCAAACTTGCCATACGTGGATCTGCCCAGCTGCCCTTCTTCGTCAGACTTGTATGTCGACGTTGGTTCCGTTCCAATGAAGCTTCTTTCACCTGTAGAAAGAAGTAACATATATACACGCAGCCACGTATGTACTGATTTGGTTTATATAGAAGAAAAATAATTCTTTACTATTCCCTCCGTTACGAATTATAAGTCGCTTTGATTTTTTTTATACATAGGATTTGCTATGTATCAGATCATATATTACATATAGATGCATAGTAAAGTGGATGTAAAAAAAAAGCCAAAGTGACTTATAATTTAGAACGTATGGGGTACTATCTTACTATTACTGGCACAAAGACCAAACTAAAGCTCCATAGTAATTATCATGAGAAATACTAGGAAAAAAGTCCTATGTTTTTTAAAACGGAAAAACAGAAACATCCACCCATCGATTCACGAGACTCCAATCATCATTGACCATAATAGACATTGGATCTATTCTGGTTTTTATAACAATTCATATTTACCATTATGAAAAATAATATAAATTAATACTCTACATTTGCATCTAAAAGTAAATCTATACACCTAAAGGCCTAAATATACATCTAACATGTCCACATCTATCATGAAAGGTAATCTAAAGTAACCTCATATTTATATCTAAATTGCTCACCTATATCATTATAATGGGTTATCTAAACGTTGCATCTAAATTTCCCATATCGACATCAAGTTTACTTCTAAATTATCAATTTCTATTATCATAGAAACTAGCAGACATGCATTCGAGCTGCAATGGAACGTACAACTTGTGTCATCTGTTCTAACTCCGATAAGCATGGGTCGTGAGTTTGGACCACGTATTGGATAATATACCAATTAGGACTCTTACCTCTAATTCATCGCGTACTCCAACTCGTATTAAAACTGGACATAATTCTTATGCTTGAGAGAGTGGAGGAACGGACGGACGGATGGACGGTCTCGGGAGAGTGTGAAGGACGAAAATCCGAGGAGAGATTTTTTGCTCTTTATATTAAGTAAAGATATATATTAAATAGACATAACATACGCTTATATATGTTTCTACGTACCCACTTCTTCCGCTATATATAAACAAATTATGGGGGTATTAACCTCTATACCCTTACGGCTAGGCTTGGGCCGGCCCAGATCAGAGGGTCCGGTCTGCTAAAAGACGACGCGCGGCCCAACCAACCTGTTCGGAGTCCCGCGCAAGGAGTCAAGACAGATTTGGCGATCAAGCAAGATCCTGATCGGTTAGAATAGGAATCCTTATCCGGCCACCTATGGCAATTGTAACTGGCTAGGATTAGTTTCCAGATCTGTAACCCTATCCCCGGACTATATAAGGCGGGCAGGGGATCCATCTAAAAAACATCACTCATTGACATACAACAATACAATCAGACGCATGACGTAGGTATTACGCCTTCTTGGCGGCCGAACCTGGATAAAACCTCGTGTCTGTCTTGCGTCACCATCTTGTTTGTGGCTTGCGCATCTGTCTGCCGACAATCTACTACCTTGGGCATACCCCTATATTTCGTCGACACAAACTAAATTAAATTAAACATGCATGATGTGTCCTACGTGTCACCATGCAAACCAAGTAGACCTGCATGTACAAGCGATAAATATAAACTCTGGTAAATACATTTTGGTACAAGAAACTCAACATCTAGACTCTATAGCACCAAAGACGACTATTTGCACTATTTATAGTAACTAAGAGTGTAATCTAAAACCTAGAACCTATTTCTAAATAAAAATATAAAAGAGGATTTCGAATAAAGGTCCAATAAGCATTAGATTTTAACTTAAAATAGATTAAAATTGTAGGAACTAATAAGACCAAATTAAAGCTTAAACTTTAAAATCTAGATTCACAGGTCCGGCCGACACATTGGCCACATTAAGAGCTAATATAACTTGAGGTAAGGTGTCACTTAACAACATATTCAGATACAAACAAGCTTGATGCTAAGGGAGATAAAACTATATCTATGGAAAAACATATAAAGTAATTGGTAGACCAGTCACAATCGGAAAAGAGATTAGGTAGCATCTATATGAGTATTGTATTAGAATATGAATAGAGAGATTGTACAAAGATAAGCAATTTCGATTAGTCTTAGATACTAAAAGCTATTTGTGAACTTGTAATACTAATATCTCGTAATGTCGCAAAGAAAAAAAACTTATTTCTCGTAAGATTTTAGCTTGGGTAGAAACTTGTTGGATTGCAACTGCTGGGTGCTGGCCTGCTGGGACACCACAAGCTCAACGTGCTGCATACTGAACCAGACGGATAGGAACGCGCGCGCATGAGCACAATCGTGTAATTTTCAGGGACACGTCAACATACATAAATCAACTCGGATGCGAATTTTCATCGTCTCTTTGAAATTCTAGCAAAGTACGGAAAAGGTAAATTCATGGCAGATGGTGAATCAGAAGGAAGGAATCTCCTCTCTTTGAAATATCTTCCTCCGCCCCTCTTCAGAGTTCAGACCTCAGACTGCTTCGCTTCCCTATTTAAACCACGGCTCCTGCCGCGCGTCCAAGCACCCTATCAGTAGGGGCTAGGGCTAGGGCTAGCGGCAGCATTGGTACTGTGTGACACTGAGCTGAAATTCTCTAGCTAGGTAGTAGTAAGCTAAGAGAAACTAGCAAATAAAACCATGTCGAAGAAGGACGTGGCCATCGAGACGGCGGAGGCGGAGGCCGCCGCGAAGGCGCCGTACTGGGATCCGCCGCCGGCCCCGCTGCTGGACACGAGCGAGCTGAAGAAGTGGTCCCTGTACCGCGCGCTCATCGCCGAGTTCATGGCCACCCTCATCTTCCTCTACGTGAGCGTCGCGACCGTCATCGGGTACAAGAACCAGTCCAAGGCCGAAGCGTGCACCGGCGTCGGCGCCCTCGGCATCGCCTGGTCCTTCGGCGCCACCATCTTCATCCTCGTCTACTGCACCGGCGGTATCTCAGGTATGCATAGTTGCATACACGTGATGTTATATATATGAAACGAAAAAGAAGACGAATTGATTGATGAGCGGCAACCATATGTGTGTCATACTCATACATGCAGGTGGGCACATCAACCCGGCCGTGACGTTCGGGCTGTTCGTGGGGCGGAAGCTGTCGCTGGCGCGCACCCTGCTGTACATCGTGGCGCAGTGCCTGGGCGCCATCTGCGGCGTGGGCATCGTGAAGGGGATCATGAAGCACCCCTACAACCAGCTCGGCGGCGGCGCCAACGGGGTGGCCACGGGTCCCTCCGACGGGGTGGCCACGGGCTACTCCGTCGGGGGCGCCCTCGCCGCCGAGATCGTCGGCACGTTCATCCTCGTGTACACCGTCTTCTCCGCCACCGACCCCAAGCGCACGGCGCGCGACTCCTTCATCCCCGTACGGCGAGCGCCTCGGCTCCTGGACCTCCACGCCTGCTCCTGCTACAAGTGCAATGTGCTAATCCGCGGTCGTGCGTGCGTGCAGGTGCTTGTTCCGCTGCCGATTGGGTTCGCGGTGTTCGTGGTTCACCTGGCGACCATTCCCATCACCGGCACCGGCATCAACCCGGCCAGGAGCCTCGGCGCCGCCGTCGTGCACGAAGCATGGAAAGACCATGTAATTGAGATCTCTATAACCACACTCTTAATTAATTACTGTGTTATTTGTTCGTGAGCTACCAGTCGTCAAAGATTCGGAATTGACATGGCATATGTGTACGCGTGCTGTGCAGTGGATCTTCTGGGTTGGGCCGCTGATCGGGGCGACGGTGGCGGCGTTGTACCACAAGCTCGTGCTGCGCGGGGAGGCCGTCAAGGCGCTCGGCTCCTTCAGGAGCACCAGCGCCACGGTGTGAGAGTGAGAGCATCTGCTTCCTGCCTGCAGCGTATATACTCCTACTACGTGCATATGAAGCGCGAAGCTGCTGTTGATTTGCCTGAATTGACCAGCCTCCGCGTGTAGTTCCTCCAATTGATTCCCAATTCGTTGTCGTCTCCTTCAATATACGCTGCGAGGTGCTTACACGAACCGTATGTATATATGCACGCTTGTCCGTGCCATTTTTTTTTATTTGGGAACTAGGAGGTCGTCCATGTATAAACCTATCGCCTGCTTTATGAGTATATATATAGTACATGCTGTTACCAATACTGTACGTATATGCATACTAGCAGACTGCTGTGCTGCTTAACTAAATAATAATACACGTCTGGAATACTTTCACAAATTATTAATACTGTACTGTAATTAGTTGGAAACCTATTTATATGATATGGAACTCTTGGAAACCGCAAAATGAAACTTCAACTTAATCATACGCTAATGGTCAGCGGAAAGTAAATTAAGCTTCTAAATAATACGTATTATCAAAACTTGGAAAAAGAGTTCTAGTAGCCCCTGCATGTAGAAAAAAACTAAACCTTACATGTGAATGCATCTAGAGCCTAATTTGGTGATTTGGGGTTATGGCGATTGATGAAAACAAGTGTTCGTGGACTAACGTGTGTTTTGTGGAGGATAATCATATTGGTTAGTCACAAGAATAGTCACGGTATCTTGGTACCAAAGATGTGTGATGGCATATAGTGCAAAGGATATTCATGAAGGCTAAAAACTCTATAGGGTGAATATAAGCTTAGTGCTCGGAAACATTCACTATAGAGTGTTTTAGAACTTTGTTTTTTTTCTAATTTGGTCGTACTATTAAGGGGATCCAAGGTATGCATCTTGAGAGATTTCAAGTGAGAGCATTTGAATAGAGTTCAGGCTCGTTCAAGATTGGAGCATAGGTGGTCCCATTGGATAGATTTTAAGTCAAGGAACTTAAATAAGTTGAATTTGTCGAAATTGGAATTAAAACTGGCTTGGAAAATGTACCGGAATGTACACCGAACGATAGGGGTGATATAAACCGGTGGATCGTTCGATGGCACTTTGTCTAGGGGCAATAATGGCTTGGTCCTAATAATTGAGCGGTTATCGTATAATCCAGTGTGCATGTGTGGCACCTAGCGGATCATCTGGTGAGGGCCCCCGTCTTTAGCTATGACAAAGTGGCCAACCCACTAATGTTCACCATATGTTCTGGTGATGATTTTGGGCACCTCCAATGTCGAATCGAACCGAACCTGACATGTGGGACTTCTAAAATTGATTTTGAGGACGGATCGACGCATCCAACATGAGCGTTGTTTGGTGAAGCCCATATCTGATTTCTCTCTCCACCTTTCTGAACTCCCGACCCCATCTATAACACCCCGGGTATTAGTCACGAGTTAAGCAGCGAAATTGGAAGTAAGTAGGATATGTCAAGTAAGGATTATGATCTCTAGTTCATAATTTGGAAGTAATGGAAGGTATTGTGGTCCAATCTATGAAAATGAGCCCCAACTTGGACTCGGACAATACACTTTGCTTACGTATGAACCCTGGTTAAGGTTAGGTGTAAGGAAAATGGACCCTAGGTCTATTTACTTTGGATTTTGGTGTTTGATGACCAACACAACCAAATTGGACTAATGAATTTGCATGCGATTGTTTTGTAGTTCAATAGGGTGCAAGAGGTAACTTGAACGAAGGTGACGTGATGATCCGATGATCAACACCATAAGCAAGACCCTAGGAGCACAAGAGAAGACCCAAGATATCAAGCAAAGTCCAAGCACGAAGATAGGAACCAAGCCATACGCAAGATCGCGAAGAAACGAGCTCACAGAGGTGATCAGACGCTGGACCGGACGCTGGTGGAAAATGACCAGACGCTCCGATCAAGAGGCTTGGCAACAGCAGGCGTCAGCAGCAGCGACCAGACACTGTACCGGATGTTGGACCGGACGTTGAGCAGCAAAGTGACCGGATGCTGGGTGCCAGAGTCCGGTCAACATCAGTAAGGTTACAGAGAGCAGCTTTCGTGACCGGACGTGTTCGGTCAGTGCTAAAAAGCGGGATTTCATCCCCAAAGGTTACTTTCTCAGTGGGGCTTATAAATAGATCCCCAACCGACCATTTGAGTAGTGTGGAGCTGAGGAAACATATCAAGGGTGTTGATACACCATTTTAGTGATCTTCACTTGCATAGTGCTTAGTGATTCATTAGGTGATTAGCGTAGGTGCTTTGCGAAGTGCTTAGGTTGATTAGACCACCGCTTATGCGCTTGCTCTAGGTTAGGCCTAATGTTTAGTGAGGTTTGCATACCTCTTACCACTCGGTGTGTGTGTGCACCATTGTTGTATATCGGAGGGGCTTGTAGTCTTGCGAGATCACACCAACCGTGGTTGTGGTGTGGCCGCCAACGTGTACCGGAGGGAACAAGGCCCGTGGCGTTTCGGCCGGAAGCTTGATAGTGAAGATGGCGGGGAGCATCCGGGAGAGCCTTGTCGGAAGGCACGTCGGAGACCCACTTGCGCGTGGGGAAGGCCCGAGGCTATCCACGGAGTTACCCGACCTGGAGCTTGGCCCTTGCGAGGGGCTCCTACGAGGACTAGGGGGAAGCTTGCGTGCTTCTCGATACCTCGGTAAAAATACCGGAGTCGTCGACGAGAGTTTGCATATCTCTACCTTGCTCTTTAGCTTCCGCATTTACATTGATTGTATTACACCTTTTACGGTAGAGATAACAACACACTAGCAAAATCGTAGTTGCACATTTAGATAGGTTATCTATTGCATAGGTTTTGCTAGGGTTAGAAGAAGAGGCCATAGTTTAGAGTTAGAATTTTAAGTTACCTAATTCACCCCCCCACTTAGACGTCACGGTCCCCTACATTAGGCATGAGTAATGTTAAACATGCTTGTTTCATATGCATTACATCAACATGCATCCATCTTGACCAGTGAAAAAGTTTCATGAAGTTTGGAGCCAAAAAGTCACATGAAATGATAAGTTAGATTTTTGCTTAAATTGCTTCCTTTAGTAAATGAGAATATGAGATGTCGATCAAACCTTGATACCTTACCCAAATGACTCTAATTGAACTCTACAACAAAAGTCATAAAGGGTTCGTGTTGAGAAAATGTCAAGAAAATGTCTCAATTGGTCAAAAACCTAATTCCAGGGTTTAACGAGGTGCTGCTTTGACCAAGATGAAGCAATGGTTTCTGTACCAAATATGAAGTTTGACCTTTAATAAAAGTTGAAGTTTAAGTGGAATACAACAAACTTTATTTTTGGATCAAGGCTTGATTCGACTTCTAAGTGTCTCGAATAGGGCTTTCAAGAATCAACTCAATGTTGTTTTGAAGCTCCAACTGAAGTTTTCAGTTTTCAGTTTTCGTGTAGCCATCTTTGGAAAATTTTAGTTTACAAACAATTTCGAATTTGGCCAAACTACTTTAATAAAAGTTGTTGTACTCGTGTAGCTTTACAACACGGTGCAATCAATTTAGTTTTTCATCACTCAGTTTAGGAGTTAGAAAAGGGATAAAAACGCAGATTCAGTCGGCTTGAAACTGAAACTCAGGATTTAGTTTTGGGTACCCTCCTTTCGAGCTCCATACCTTCCAATCTAGGCCGAGTTAGCTCTAGATCCTTAACGAAATATTGTTCACCTTGCAAAGATCTCCAACTTTGCCTTTTGCTCCGTGATCATATGTAAGCCGGATCAGGAGATAGAGGATGGGAAAGTTGGCGATTTCAGTTATATTTTTGCGGTGGTATTGATAGTGTTTGCAAAGCCTCGCGTTCATGGCCGACCGCACGTAGGTGAAACGCACCGCGTGGCCTCGCGCTCGCACGCATGCATGCCACGGTGCTGCGCTCGTTCATTTTGGATGCTCGAGCGCCCTCCTTTCTCTCTCGCTCTCTCATTCTCTCGCTCTAGCCGCTCCAGAGCGCGCGTCCACCATGGACGGCCGGCAGAGCGCTGCCACCACTGTTCTCGCTTCCCCAAGCACCCCCGCTCCTAGCCAGCACCACCACCACCTCCTCGTTGTTCCCCCAAACCCGTACCACCCATCCTCGGCCTCGCACGCCGCCGGGAGCTCTGCCACCGCCTTGCGGCCGCCCGCCGCCGCCGCCGCGCGCGTGGCCGAGCCAACTTGGGTAGCCTCGGGCTAAGATGAGTTGTCCCCTGGGGGTGCACGATTCCCCTGGTGCTTCCTCGCCACTTCTTCTCCGCCGCCATGGACCACCGCGTCGGAAATCGCCCATTCCCCGGCGTCCTCTACTCCAAATTCACGTCAAGGGCTTTGCACAGGGATTCGAAGAAAGGAAAGGGTCGATCTGCAAACCGTAGGCTCATATAAATAGTGCCTATAAGGACCTGCTCGCTAGAATCGGTATTAAAGAAAAGTCTAGGGTCCTCGGTGCAAGTTTGCTTTTCTTTTATGGCTAAAAATTTGGAAAATCATAATAATGTAGAAAAATCATAAAATAGCAAATGAGGATTTCTTGGAATCCTTGTCAGTAGATCTACACAATAGAGTCATAATATGATATGTGTTAGTAGAAAGTTTCTGATGTTTTTATTTATTCTTATAAAGTGCTTTTAAAAATGCTTTTAAGTTGGTTAGATGCATATATTGAATTATAGAGGTCCAAAAATTGTGATTCCAGTTGTGTTAGTCTTGTGATGACACTATATAGCTAAGAAAAATATTAAACAAGCTAGTTATGTACTATTTTTATCATGTTTTGATTTAATCTTGTTAAATAGGCAATTTTAGCTTATTTTTCTTGTCATTTTCATATCTAATGTTGCGGTGCTCTAATTTCTGTGAAATTTTTATGGTAGTCTACTGATGCTATGTGTGTGATGTGGTAAAAATTTCATGGTCATTGGAAGCATTATGTTTATTTATTGATTTAACTTGTTTATTTTTTGATAAATGGTTTTAAATAAGTTATGATTTTTATG